CATCCATCCATCTGTTTGTCATCCATCCATCCATCATCCATCCATCTGTTTGTCATCCATCCATCCATCATCCATCCATCTGTTTGTCATCCATCCATCCATCTGTCTGCCATCCATCCATCCATCTGTTTGTCTGTTATCCATCCATCCATCTGTTTGTCTGTCTGCCATCCATCCATCCATCTGTCTGTCATCCATCCATCCATCCATCCATCCATCCATCCATCTGTTTGTCATCCATCCATCCATCCATCCATCTGTTTGTCATCCATCCATCCATCCATCCATCCATCATCCATCCATCTGTTTGTCTGTCATCCATCCATCCATCCATCGATCCATGTTTGTGTCTGACATTCTATTGTAATAGTTCTCTTGAAGAATAGCATGAGTTTCATTTATATCATGATGATAGATTTATCATCACTCAAAGTGGAGTCATACAGACCTTTCATATACAGTAATTGTTCAGTTTGCCTGGGGAAATGCCTGACAAAGCTTCAACCAACCCTTCACAAATAGAAATAGCTCTATATCTGTCACTGCTCGTGCTAATGGTGCTGTGGACTATACATCTGTTGCAGCCAAGTTGATGGAGACAGTATCTGTCAAAGCGCTGTCACTGAGACCCATTGGACCTGGGTGATTCATTACATGCCTCTGCTTTTCTATTTGAGTCGTCTGTCACTTTATTCACTCTATATTCAAGAGTGGCTGAAAAAAACGCCGCTGTCTTTTGGACTAGACTTTGGCTAGACAAACTTTTATAATGTGGTTATGGATGTGATGGTCCTAATTGCTGGAATGTGTGGGCGACGTGCCCAGATCCAGACTCCATTGCCATTGTCTGATTATTCGCCTCTATTATTCAGCCGTGCTCTAATTCATAACGGGCTGAAAAGCTCTGCTACTGTTGTCAATGAAAGGAGCCACTGTTTGAGGTCTGTAAAGATGAGAGTGCCCCATTACATTTCTCCTCTCTTGGAAGAGCCAGATACCTCCATATGAATGTTGAAGGGGTGCGGATCAACCCGCTTTCCCACTGAAACCTGAAAGAACCAATACTCACCCCAAAAACAAAAGCATCAATGGATGGATGTGTGAAACCACAACCTGCGAGGCAAGAATGCTGATGAAGCGGGTATCTAATGGCGCTTTTCCACTGCGTGGTACGACTCGGCTCGGTACGGCTCAGTACGCTTTATGATGTCATCACCCTGTTCCTTACATCACAATCAGGGAAGGCTTGTTTGGAGAGGAACTCTGCTGGTGATAAGAGTGCGTGAGGGGGTTTCTATTCTTTTGTGAGGAGCTGGTTTTGTCTCCCAATGCTTTATATCTAAAGAAAACCCACTGATGTGTCTAAGGCTTTGTACATATTCCAGAAACACTCCCCTGACTGCTCTTTCACTCATGTTTTCCTCTGACCTAGCTGGATCTCAGTTGGAAATGTACTTTTTGGAACGCTATACTGACATTTGATAAGATTGGGTTTTGGGTACTGTTTAATATCACGGAAGTATTTAACACAAAGAGCTGCGTTTTGACTTGCCTGAACTTGTCAGGATTTGAGGACTGATAAAGTTTTTTTTTTTTGCTGTTCTCATATTACTCAGGATTTGATGTTAGAAATTGGGCAGGTTGGGCTCTGTTTAGGCTTGTATTCTCAATGATTTGAGGTCATGTTATTGTTTTTGGGCTTGAGTTTGCACATGGATGACAACTGAGTGATTAAGCATGGATTAGGGCTGCACGATAAATCGCATGCGATATGTAATGCGCATCTTGTCATATCGCATGCGATTTATCGTGCAGCCCTAGCATGGATTCAGATTTGGACTGTGTCCTAACCAGACACGATAAGATCACAGCGAGTTTGTCTGTAGACACCAGACGTGATAAGACCACAAGATGTGTCAAAGTCAATCACACATCCTCGTCATTGTTTCCCTTAAGTTTTCATGATCGGAGGTAAATTATCAGTTGTTACTGTCATTACGGCTATTAAAGAGATAGTTCTGTCATCATTTACTCACGCTCAAGTTGTTCCAAACTTGTATTTATTTCTTTCGGCTGTTGGACACAAAAGAAGATGCTTTAAAGAATGTTGTTGACCAAACAGTTGACGGTAGCTGTTGACTTCCATAGTATGGAGAAAAATCCAATGGAAGTCAATGGGTACCATCAACTGTTTGGTTTCCCACATTCTTTAAAATATCTTCTTTTGTGTTCAACAGAAGAAAGAAACTCGTACAGGTTTGGAACAACTTGAAGGCGAGTAAATTAGTCTTTTTTTTTTTTTTCTTTTGTAAACTGTCCCTTTAAAGTCAAGCAGAATGATTCCAAATTTATATCCTTTTAAGATTTTACAAAGTACATGAGCTCCTGAGAAACCTGAGATTATCATTGTCTTTGGACACATTGTTTTGCATGTTGTTTTTTTTATTTATTTTTTTATATGTATATATTTAAGGGGAAAAATCTAATTTGTACTTTATTGGGTTTCATGAAACCCAATAAAGTACCCAAAAGTTGTTTAATACTAGTACCAATTAAATTTCACAGCTAAAACATAATCTGTTATTGAACACTCCTATATTAAATTAAATAAAAATAATAATTAAAAATAGAAGATAATGAATTTTTTACATTAAGTTTTTTTCTTTCATGTAATTATTAAAGTAAACAGTCAGAAACACAAGAAATAATGTTATCTTGTGTTTACAACCCTGCCATATGACTTCTAATAAGTCTGTGGTAAAAAAAAAAGGTTATTTAAGTTTAAATAACCTGATAATTTCAGTCTGACTTGAACAATTTAAGCAGCATATTTAGTAAAGTTGAATTACAGCTGATTTTGCTGAAGAAAACTTGACTAACGTTATCAGTTGGCGTCAAGGAAAGAACAACAGAAGCATATCACCCTTTTAATGCCATTTTAAAATAATGTATTCTGTACATTAGAATACATTACATTAGGTTAAAAAACAAAACTGAACTGGAATGGAACATTGATTTTTTTTTTCTGTCAGTGCAGCAGCATCTCTGATGTCTCATCTGGATGAATGGGTTAAATCCTCACACTTAGGTGGTGGGATGGATGTTTGCACATGTGTCTACCATTGAGTACATTTTCACATGTAGTCAACTTGATCACACACCTGCCACCACAGAGACCCTCCGAGTGTATTTCTGCTGCTTCACATTTATATTTCATGTGCTAATGACAGGCTGCCATTGGCTAATGTGGGACTCTCATCCTAGAGGCATAATTACATAGAGCAGCACAGTCCACGAGTGAATGCTGGGATGCTGCAGCCTCAACTGTTGTTGTGAAAGACAAAGCGAGGCCTGTGTTTTTCAGGCTGGATGAGACGACCCACGCATTGAGTCAAGACTCGCATCTGCATGGTAGTCACATGATCTGAGACATAACCTCAGCTTGACCCTGTTAGTGATGGTGATATGCCTCCAACGGACAATTGCCTCCTTCTGAATTTGAGGGCAGAGTGTGTCTCTCAAGGGATTTGTTTTGGATGGACTGAAGAAATACTTCATATGCTTATAGATTACAACAGTGATGGACAGTAACGAAGTAGTTTTACTTCGTTACTGTACTTAAGTAACTTTTTCATGTATCTGTACTTTACTGGAGTAGTTTTATTTTGAGTAACTTTTACTTTTACTTCACTACATTCCAAAGCATAAGATCGTACTTTTTACTTCACTACATTTCATAAAACTTATCGTTACTCCTTATAATAGCCTATATCATGTGCTCCGAGACGCAGAAGCGGTGTCTGATTCATGAACGAACTGATTCTTTTCAATGAACCCATTAAATCGGTTCGCAAATCGCACCAAACGATTCATTCATGAATTAGAATGAACCGATTGCAGTTGTTCTCGAGTCGACAACTCACTGATTCAAATGATCCGTTTAGTGCGAGTCTCCTGTGAACTGAATTCACAAGTAAGACCCGGGAGATCTTGTGAGTGCGTGCGCGTCTAATGTCGAATTATAGGATTAATTATTGTAACTGACAATCATATTTAGGTCAAAGCTGTCAGTTGTGAGTACTTTTACTGGAGTAATATTTTATTATACGGGTCTGTACTTTTACTCAAGTACTTGATTTGTGTACTTCGTCCACCACTGGATTACAACAACACTGATCCCAGTTTGCATACTATCTGTCTGTTATTAGTACATTCCTAATAATTGGCATAGATAAACGCTTATAAAGCGGTGTGGACCTTGGTGTGTGTTCTGAGAGAGGAGATTTGTATGATTTCCGCGATGCGAAAAATGTGGACAGAATTGCAGAATCCAGTCATAATGGAATTTACTGTATAATGTGGAATGGCACGGAATTTGCAAAATTTTGGATGAATGGATCAAAAGTAGGTCAGTACACTTAAATCAAAACGCGATATGGACTAGTGTCTGTGAATATTAAGCTGCAAAATGCTATTAAAATATGAATTGTGCATGTTTCTGCGTGTCTGTGTGAATGGATGGCGCAGACATTTCGTTTTTCGGTTTCGTTTACAAGCGTGCATGACATTGTGGTGTTTTCAGTCTCTGCCGCCTCAATATATGAGTACATGAACGCATGAATATAATCACTAGAACTGCTCTGAGAGTCATTGAATGAGCATTTTACCATTTCTTTTAAGAAAAACTATTGTCATATTATATAAATTAAAGGTCTTCACAAACACCAAATAAAAATAAAAGTTTGATTTAACTTAAAGAAACTGTGACAGAAGTATTACTTAATGTAATGATAATACAATTATTATTAAAACATTATTTTTAAAAGAATATTTACTAGAATTGTTTTTACCAGAATTTATTTAGCAGAAAAATGTAAATGCACAACACAGTATTTCTGAAGGGGAAAAAAAAAGTTTTGGTTTTTTTTTGTATAAAATCAATTATTTAAAGATGGTTTTGACTTATAAACTGTAATGAAACCATTCAAATCTGGAAAAAATCAAATGTATTTCATAGGGCCTTAAAAATGTACTTTTTGTTAAACCGTTAATAAATTGCTGTTAAATTGTGAAAGTTTCATGAATTAAATTAATTACACATGGTTTTTAGGTGATCAAATTTTATTTAACAAAATTAAAAGAGAAAAAAATGGAATCCAGAAAAATTAAAACGGAAAAAATCAAACGGAATTTGGGAAAAAATCTAACTGATTTCATAGGTCCCTGGATTTGTTGGGTTTGTCCATCTGCTGCGTGGCTCAGCTGCAGTGACGGGGTGACATCCGTTCGTGTGTGTTGTTGTGGAGGTTTGCGCTTACTCATCACCCTGCATTGTGTGTCTCTCTATTGTGTCTCAGGTCCCTGTTTGCCTCCATTTCCTCATTACAAACAGCAGAGCTGCCAAGACAGCCGAATAGACTTTTAGAGGCCTGCTGAAAACACTCTTTATCTCTCAATGTTTTGTGTCTCAACAGTGTTTTGTGATTCATGACACGTCTGAAGACTAAGTAGATTAATCTGAGAAATAAGTCTGCAGTTATGATTAGGTGGTGAGATGTATTATGTCTACCTCGAGTTGCAAGTTGAAACCGGATAGGATGAGGATGGTGTGGTCTTAACCTTGAGATTTACAGCTGTTTTTACAGAAGTTTTCCAAGACTAGAAAAGTCATGGAAATTTCTATAGTGAACGTCCAATTTTTTCTAGTAATGCTTTGGTCAAAAGTTATTTTTTGTCAGCTAAATGTTGTGAAATAAAACTTGTAAACAGTGGTGTCCAAATTGTTATTTTAAGTTGCTTCATTTCAAAGCGTTAGCTGAATCTTAATGATTCATTATACATCCAGTCAGAACGTGAAAACCCTTATTAGTGGTCGACCAGTCTGATCTCATGAAAATATAACTATTTTACAAGATGGCGAATAGACATGTGCTGGTATTCGGTAATGCGATATATCACGATGATGAATATGCACGATATTGTTATCATGGACACTTCAAAATACAGAGAATAATTATTTATATATAACAAATTATTCAGGATTTTGAATGCATTTTAAGAATACTTTTCCCATCAACTGGTCACAATGCACAACACCGCTGTATGCTGTGTCAAAGACGCGTGTGCACTCTGATGTAAACAAACACGGATGAGAAGCGCATGGCGGAGTGTGATAGACACTCTGGATCAAAGCACATTCACTATCTGACAGCAGATGGCGCTAAACATAATGCAGCCGTTAAGGTCCTTGCACAGAGTCCGAAATTTTCGTATGCGTTTTTTCGTTTTCGTCATCCTTTCCTATCAAAATGCTTGCTACGGGTGCGAAAACGCAGAAAATCAAGCCTGATCCGAATTTTTTATGATGGACGAAAGTTTCGGAGGCAGTGTGTAAATGTGATTGACACAACGTGAGGTCGTATTTATTTTTTAACGTGCAAAAATTTCGGACGAAAATTACCCCGGAAACAAAACCGCTTTCCGTTTCTGAAAGGTGTTTAAATGATTTAAACAGCCATTCAAATTTGTGTATTTGCTATGATGTAGGGCTGCACGATAAATCGCATGCGATATTTAATGCGCATCTTGTCAGTAAAGCCGGTTCTTTAATCAGCGGTAAATCTCCATCACCTGCGTGCTTTCACATGGAGCAGCATTAACTACACAGAGGTGACGTCTCATTATCTTGGAGGGATCTCATTATAATATTACCGCCCCTTAATCTGTAAGTTTACACGCATAGCCGTTGTTCACTGACAAGCTGTGCAAAACCACGATCATATTTTGCGCATGTTTTGCGCAGCTTGTCGGTGAACAACGGCTCTGTGTAGTTAATGCTGCTCCATGTGAAAGCACGCACGTGATGGAGATTTACCGCTGATTACAGAACCGGCTTTCTGACAAGATGCACGTTAAATATTGCATGCTATTTATCGTGCAGCCCTACTATGATGTTCATCACAGTGCCCAATATTTAGACTTAATAGGCTATTTATTTTCAAACTTTTTTTTACGTTTTAATCTGGACTACAACATGCCTTAGATATTGTTTTATATCATTTGTTCAGATATTGTTTGTTCGGTCAAACTTTACATTAGGGCTTCATTAGTTAACATTAGTTAATTCATTAGTTAACATAAACTGCTTAACATAACTTCTTCTAAACATTCATTAATCTTAGGTATGCCAATATTTAATAACACATTGTTAAAATCAAAAGTTGCAACTGTGTTATTTAATGAGCTAACATGAACTAAGAGTTGTATTTTTTTTTTTAACCGATTAATAACTTCTGTAGCAAATGTAGCTATTGCTCATTTTGAATGTTAATGCATTAACTAAGGTTAACTAATGAGATCTTATTGTAATTGGTCTTTATAATTCTTTTGCACTTTAATCTGTGTAAAAAAAATTAACTATGAATTTGTGTATTGCTTTATTGTATTTAAATGTTCAATTATTTTTGTTATAAGAAAAAAGTTATTAAACCTGTTATACTGTATTATGACAACACTTTTTTTGCAACTAAATTTCAATATCGTGATAATACCATATACCGTGATAAAAGCATTATCAATTAATCGCAACATGAAAATTTGATACCAGCATATCCCTAATGGCGAATGTGATTCATACATAAACATGTTTTGTAGAAATTAAGCATGAAGGTTCACCCCTAAACCTAACTGTCAGTTGGGCGTAAGATGATTGTATGAAAATGTATAAATAAGATTGCACAAATTAGCCACCAGTTCGCCAAAACTTAAAATGGTTACGAATTGCCAGAGTGTGTTGGGTCGACGGATATAGACTTTTTATTCTCATGTTCTTAATCATGTTAATGTATTGGTTAATGTTCATTTCTCTTGTTCATGTAATTTATTAGCTTTTTCCATTTTTACTCATTTTTTAAAATCAGTTTAGATAAATTTTTTTGCTAATAATTTTAAATTCTTGAACTTAAAATTTAACCAAAATTGAGGAAAAGGAAATGTTGCAACTAACTGAAAGAATTTTAAGTTTTTCCATCTAATACTACTTGTTTAATTTTATTTCAGCTTTATATCAGTTAACAAATTTTTTTCTCATGTTCTTATGCAGGCTACAGATTCACACTTCAGTGGATAGGTTGCTAATTTTGTGGAATTAAACATTTATTAACTGCATATTTGCTGAATTCCAAAGGTGTATGATTGGAAAGGCAAAAAAGGAAAATAGTGAGGAATATATCAGCTTTGGTGATATGTTGGTTGGCCGCTAATCCTTATCTAGTAACAAATGACTAGAAAGATCATTCAGAAGTTTCAAAGCTTTATTAATATCAGTGTAGCATTGTTTTGTAGCAGCATGCTGACTTCTGCGTTTCTTTTGCAGCATGGAGCAGAGTTCCGGAGGTTTTCAGTGGATCGATTAAAACCCGGCAAATTTGAGGAATTCTACAAACTCATCATGACCATCCACCGGATTGCAAACATGGAGGTGATGATCGGATACGCTGATATTCACGGAGACCTCCTCCCCATCAATAATGACGAGAACTTCAGCAAGGCCGTGTCGACTGCACACCCCCTGCTGCGAATCTTTATCCAGAGACAAGGTACAAGCTCCCTCTCACTTCCCTCCCACATCCCTTTATTCTCTGTGTCCCAGTTTTTCCTTGCTCTGTTTGTTTTTTCGAGGTGAATGTTCCTGCTTCACATTGTCTGGTGACTTGTCTTGGATTGCCGGAAGATCTAGTCGAGTAATCAGTCTCAGGGATGCCTTGCATAGTAATAAGGGTTTCAAATTCCCCTGACCTCAATTGAGAATCGGACAGTTAGAGGTTAAAATCCTGCAGAATGTAGAGTATGAATTTAGCACATACTTGCAGAGCGATGCAGGGAGATTCAGTCCCCAATTTCTGTGGTCAGGCGAAAATACAGGGTAAACGGGATCATGCGATGCGTGATTGTATGCTGTGTTCTGAAGCACACAGTCCCAAACGTGGCTCCGTGTGCAGCTATTATGTTGTCAGTGTTTCCCTGGCGTGGGCTAGTACACACTGATGTGTGTGTGATCGAGCCGCTGCGGTCTGAAGATAACTTTCTACAGGATAGGCTGCTGGTTTTGATGGTAGGGAAGAGAGTGACAGTTCTTTCCTGTGGAGAGACTCAGACTCTTCCTGTAAATCCCAGTGCACCCTTAAAGACAAATCAGCATCCTGTTGCTGAACTGTTGAATGTGTGTTAGATACTTTTTCCTTTCTGGATCTGAGAATGTGTGTTTAGTTGCAGAAACTGCTCTCTAAAATGGTTGGTACTAGTGATAGGCTGATATATTTAGTCTTAATGTTGAGATTGGCTTTGGATATTTGTCTAAGTATGTCTCTTTGATTGAATAACAGAATTAGTATTAGAATTAGTATTAGTTTTGCCATTGTGCCATTGCAAAATCTTGTCGATGTTTCATGGTTTCTGTATGTAAAGTCAACATTAATTGCCCCCCATAATTTGACCAATTTCTGAGTTAAACCATATATTCAACAGGTTAAAATGTAGAACAGGACCTTTTTTTTTTTTTAATTGACCCTTTGGAGTTTGATTGACAGGCGATCTGACCAATCATAACGCAGAATCTGCCATTTTGTCAGATAGAAGGATAGAATCATTCTGTTTTGCCCTGATTCCTTGGCTCATGCCGAATCAGTTGCACTCTGATGTCATTTTACGTTACGAAAATTTTCCCGTCATTTCGAATTTTCTGAAATATCTACTGTTTCGAACTTATGATTTTTTTTTTACCAAGATTGACTCACCTTCATACGATATATATATTTTTATATAAATTTTTTTTTTGTAAACTGGGCTTCACTGTTCATTTGAGTGTTCAGATCAGTCTGTTCTCAGAGGGACTGCAGCCTATAGAAAGCAGGTCACAGTCTGCTGATATGGAGGGCATGTCACACAGACAAAAGAGCCACGTGAAAAGAGACAAAACACAGAGAGAGTCCCCTCAGCAGGCTGGGCCTTGCTCATCTTTCCACATCCGCAGATAGGATGCTTCTCTCACCGTGCTTTAAAGGTATGAACCCTGCTCTGCGATATTTGCATACTTCCCATCTCTGCAGTTGTACAACCGTAGTCCATTAATGTATTGTAATTAGTAGTCCTGCAAGGAAGACACAATGCATAGTTAAACTATAAGAACAGCCTTCAAGCGGTTTTCATTCTTTGACAGCTTTTGCAGGTATTAAGGTTGCTCACACTTATTATTGTGATTTTTAGTGATCAGATTTACAAAGTAGAATACAGATTTTGACACCTTAGATCACTTCATAAACAGTGGTTAGTAGTTTATTTAGAAGGATTTAACATTTAGCCGTTCTTGCTTTGGATAAAAATGTGGAATGTGGCCAAACCATTCATGCATGTAAAGTTTTACTCCTCTTGACGGCTTGGCTTCCAGTCATGGATTACATAAGTCGTGTTTTGTTGCGACAGCACAAGCTTTTAAGTGGTCAGCAGGATTTGTACTATTATGCTAATTCGTTTCTTTACTCGTAGCTGTGAGTGCCATTCAGCGCTCATAGTGACCATTGTGAATGTCGAACAATGAGGTGCTTTCTCATGGTTTGCCATCTCCTAACCTGAGCGTGAGTAAGCCCGTAACAAGCAGCGCTCGCTGGGCGGTACCGGAGAGTCCCAGCATTCCCGTCACTCGTGGGTTCCTGACATAGACATGGTCACACACATAGACGGTGGTGAGTCAGTGTGAATGAAAGATTATTCCAAAGCAGGGATACTCAACTTTAGGAGCCAAGAAAGCCACATTTAAACCACAGACGGATAGGACTTCGTTTTATGGATGCATGTGCTTTCCAAAAAAATCAAGGACATTTAAAGTCTGGTTTATTCTTGATGTATCCACAGCAGTGCTTGAGCTCACAAATATAACATACATCTGACCTTCACATCCACTTTTTGGATATTTGTCGGCATCATTGATAAAACTACTTCTCATGCAGTAGTTGGGGACTAATTGTAATAATAAATATACATAATTAGACATGGAGGTTGATTTTAAAGGTATAGACATTTCATATTTCCGGGTTTCTGAGCAGCGGAAGTTATCATAGCTGGGTAAACTTCTAAAGCAGTGAATGGGAGACAACCACACACACACACACACACACACACACACACACACACACACACACCCACACCCCCACACACACACACACACACACAAACACCCTTTTTTTTGTCATTTGATGCAAAGGTAATATAATACAAAATATAATGTTATAAATATACATACATTTAAAAAAAAAAATGAATGAATATATATATATATATATAATATTTATTAAAAAAAAAGATTTACGATGCTGATGACCGTTGAAATGCATCATCACAATCTTGTGAAAAAGGGTCCATAATTCACCCAAAAATGCAAATTCTGCCATTTGTTTACTCACCCTCATGTTGTTTCAACTGATAAGACTACTGTTCATTTTGGAAACACAGATGAAGATATTTTTAATGATTTGACTTGGATTTGACACTTGATTCAAATGGATTTCTTTCTTTATGAACCTTTGGGAGCATCAGAATGTTTCTGGAATGGATTTCGGTGGATGGACAGAAATCTCTCGGGTTTCATTAAAAATATCTTCATTTGTATTTTGAAGACAAATCTTATGGGTTTGGAACAACATGAGAGTGAAGATGCCGCCAGAATTTTCAGTTTTGGGTGAACTGACCCTTTATTGATTCTGTTTCCAGTTTCTTTTGACAACTATATATGAAATAACATTTCTTAACAAAAAATGTGGTAACGTTAATTTATTTTTTATAAAGTACTACTAACAGAAATGACATTGTCAAATGAAAAACAAGTCAGTATCTACTGCAGCTTTAAAGGGATATTTCACCAAAAAATGAAAATTACCCCATGATTTACTCACCCTCAAGCCGTTCTAGGTGTATATGACTTTCTTCTTTTACACGAATACAATCGGAGTTATATTTGTCCTGGCTCTTACAAGCTTTATAATGGCAGGGAATAGGGATCAAGATTTTGAAGCTCAAAAAAGTGCATAAATCCATCATAAAAAGTGCTCCACATGGCTCCGTGGGTTAATAAAGGCCTTCTGAAGTAAATTGATGTGTTTGTGTAAGAAAAATATCCATATTTAAAACTTTATAAACCACAATCTCTAGCCTAGCTAACTGTCATACGTGCATTCATGAGAGAGTGGCATTCCATCGGATGACGTAGGCATAGCGTACCATAGTTATAAAACTTGGAAGAGCCAGGACATTTTTTAATATAACTCTGATTGTTTTTGTCTGAAAGAAGAAAGTCAAGTCAAGTCACCTTTATTTATATAGCACTTTTAACAATACAGATTGTGTCAAAGCAACTGTACAGCATTAATTAGGAAAATATTGTGTCAATAATGCAAAATGACAATAGTAAACACTCATTTTTCAGTTAAAGCCAGTTCATCATTGAATTCAGTGATGTCATCATCCAGCTCAATTCAGTTTAAATAGACGATATCGCTGGATATTAAGTGTCCCCAACTAAGCAAGCCAGAGGCGACAGCGACAAGGAACCAAAACTCCATCGGTGACAGAATGGAGAAAAAACCTTTGGAGGAACCAGGCTCAGTCGGGGGGGCCAGTTCTCCTCTGACCAGACGAAACCAGCAGTTCAATTCCAGGCTGCAGCAAAGTCAGATTGTGCAGAGGACTCAACTGGTTCTTGTGGTCTTGTCCCAGTGGCCGTCTAGGAGACAAGGTCTTCACTGGGGCTCTGTCTCTGGGGCTCATCTAGTTGTCCTAAAGCTATATACAGTACACCTAGGACGGCTTGAGGGTGAGTAAATCATGGAGTAATTTTCATTTTTGGGTGAACTATCCCTTTAAGTCTTACAAGCCTTCAGAAGAACATAATACAGTTAGTTGTACGTGATATATAACCAACTATCTGTTTGATTTCACTAAAAAAGCACCGATTGATAAGAGTCATTCATTCAGGAATCATTTGGACTACATGAGTTGTGCTTTAAGTGCTTTAATCACTAAAAGAACTGAGTCATTTGTTTCTGCAATCAGACTTCACTGGTTGTGCATGGCATGTTGCAGTAAATCATTAAAAAATGGAACTGTTCCCAACTCTTTTCTCTCTCTTTAACTTTACTAGGCTACAGAATAAAGGCTGATGGGCCATGTGTGTTAAGAACAGCAATGTTCTTAACATACATGGACAAATCAGTTTCTTTTAACTGCCCCCTGGAGCTCTGAGAACTCACAAACTTTATATTTCTCTTTTCTTCTTTTCTTTTTTTACTCTCTTTCACTCAGAGAGGTCACCAGTGGAGACTTCCTTTATATAAATGCACTATAAAGATGAGAGAAAAGCAGCCCAGTCAGTCTTGAGTTCAGTCAGACATGGACTTGGTCTGATGTTTCAGACACTGACTCAGGGCGCTCTCTAATGCTCAGTTAAGACCTAGGAGCAGATCTCACCCCTGCTGAGCCAGACACTGGGGACTTCCACTCCAGAGCACTGTGGGAAAGACCCATCTGATGTGTGCACCTGTCCTGACCT